GAGGTCGTGCACTTTTTGGCACCCTTGTGCCGCACGACCACCGTGAGGTCGGACACTTTTTTAATTAAAAATGGCCTGGCACTGAACGTGTTAAACAATTATATGAAACGTCAGAGATCGTTGTGGAAAGTGTCATCTGCTAATCAGGGATGAAATGTGATGGGTCTGTAGGGTCGCTCTGTTTGGAGAGAGACAGGGAGAGACAGAGACAGAGAGAGAGAGACGGAGAAACGGAGAGACTGTCCCACGGACTGCCCTGGACCTCAACCTGCACTATGCGCATGTGCATGTGTATCCTCGACCTCGACACTCGACACCTCGGAGGGAAGGAGAAGGGGGGGGGGGCTGCACCATCTGCACTCGTCTACCTCGAGATAAGCCGCAGAGTAAGCAAGAGAGGTCCTGATGGGGCAGGAGTCTCTCTAGGCAGGAGGGTGGGGGGGACCAACCGGTCCGGGACTCTAGTCGTCGGGCTGCCGGCGGCCATGGTGTCAGTGCCGCTCTGCCCGCCCCAAGGACCGGTCCATCCGATCATCATTGTCAATCCTTCTGCGCCGCCCGTGCAGAGCTCTAGCTCTGCTGCTGCTCTGCTGCACCGACCCCGGCCACCTCGACATGTCGGTGATATACCGCCGGTCCATGGCTTATCTCGATAAGTTCGTGCCGCCCAAATACGCGCCGCTGTGGAACCACCCCGCAGGTGAGAGGGGGCAGCCCCCAACCCGCGCCCGCCCCGGGGCCCCGGGCAGGGGCAAGTTGTTACCAACTATTGTTGTTGCTGCTGCTGGGCTGGGGCTGAGCGTGGTGTGGAGTACATTGTCATAACGCTGATACGACGAGCTAAGGTGTGACAGGAGGTGGTGAGATGAAGGTGAGGGACATGATGTCGTTTAGCACACAGCATTGCTAGTACCCCGCGAGTGCACTGCTGGCCCGGGGTTCTTCATTCAATTAGGCCCTTCCACCGGGGCACGCTCCTTGAGCAGTCAGCAGTCGAGCTGGTCCCAGTTTCCGGTGGCAATCCCAGTGTCCTCAAAGGTGGCAGCGAATTGGGTTGCAATTCGTTTTCAGTGTTTCGTTTCCTTTCTCTCTGCACGTCTTTCGCCCGGACGTCAGAGCTTATTTGTTTGTTATTGCACCCCCCCCCCACCTCCCCTCCCCGATTCTGTTCCCAGTGTGTTCCTGATTGGCTGGAGCTGGAGGCGCGGCCGCATGTCGGGCACCTTGCCAAGAGGAGCCTATGGCTGCGCTGGAAGAGGGAGAACACCAGAGAGACAGGAGCAAGCGTGGGTCTTGCAGACCGCTTTGATCCACTATTTCTGTTGCAGGACCTAAAACGATCTTCTTCTGGTCGCCGTGGTTCAAGTGGGTAAGTCTGTCGTTGCAGACACGCTTCCAAAGACAGTACAGATCCCCAACAAACGCGTGACCAATAAGTTGTAACTCAGAAATATCAATCTTTAAATCTTACACTTAATTTTGAGGTCAGAATGACTTTTTTGTATCAGAAATTCCGATTTGGTCTAAACACATCAATATGACATATCTTTGGTGTCGACAGTCATTTACCCGGTGAGAATGCAGTATCTAACCTACCAGGACCACTTCTGTAGTTATGCTGGAGTGCGAGCTGGCTTGCCTATCGCCCCTGTCCACGGCGCCTTACGGGCAGAGCGAGTAGGCAACCCGCCCTCGCGTAGGAATGCGGTACAGCATAACTACAGAAGTGCGCGGGGTGAGTGAGCTACCAGGTTTATCAGTTATCAATCAGAAAACCGTTGACCCCAGGACTATATTCAGGATCCATCAAGATCGATTCGGCACGGAAATGAACAGTTTTCTGATCTTGGCATCGGCCTGGCATCGTTCTGCCATTGCCTTTTCTCCTCGGGGTCGGGGGCTGATTGTGACCACCAGTCCGTGTTGTAGGGGCTTGTGATCGCGGGCCTGAGCGACGTGCAGCGGCCGGTGGAGACGGTGTCGTTGTCGCAGTCGGCAGCGCTGTCCGTCACGGGGCTCATCTGGTCGCGCTACTGCCTGGTCATCACCCCCATCAACTACAACCTGTGCGCCGTCAACGTGTTCGTGGCGCTGGTGGGCACCTACCAGGCGCAGCGCGCTCTCAGGCGAGTCTCACTAGGGCTGATAGCCGAGTGGAGGGGTATCTTACTCCCTCCAACCAGTGGCCAATCTCTGCTACTCGCGAGTATACTCGGGAAGGTGCTCTTGTGCCACGCTACGCTAGCTCCGCATGCTCGGCACCGCAGCGGGAGCGCGAGTTCATCGTACTCATAATTGAAAATGGCTCAGGGATTGCAACAAAGGGGTTACTCATATCCGCAAATACCCGTCGCGTCTTTCGACATAAGAGACTAATTTTTCTTTGTTTTTTGTTAACAGATACCATCTCTCGTTGTCGGACTCAACAGTCCCGGAGTCTGAGACGGTAGCATAAAAGCAAAACACGAGCAAGAATCTCAAACTCAAATTGATGGATTGTGCTCCCCGATCGGGGCCTCGAGGTCAGCCACTGGCCGCACCAAAACCACACTGACAAGCCTAACTATAGTTAGCTGTGTATACACAGCTTCCCCACATCTCAACGATAATGAAACAATGAGTCTCGCGTGACCTAACTTGGTCTTCCCTGACCACGCCCACATTGATGAGACGACGTTCTTTCTAACTTTCGAAGGAGATTGGCGCAAAAGCAAGGAGGGATGAGGTTGCGCTGCTTCTACGGGAGTTCCTGCAGCGCGTCAGACAAATTAATTTGATCGGGACAAACATTCTCAAACGAAACTGCGAGCACATACTTTGTAATGCCAATAATCTCCTCGTACATGAGCTAGTTTGGTACAAAATAGTAAAACTGGAATATCTTCAATAAGCCAGACTTTTTACTAATGTTTCAGAGTGTTTCTACCATTTATTACTGTTCAAACTGACCGCCCTTTTCAAATATGTGTTTCGTTTTATTTTAAAAGTGGCATTAATTTGTAAATAATATTTTTGGGCGATGAGTTGGACTTTCATTGCTTCGAAATAATTCAAAGTACCTGTTATAATGACAAATTTCAAATTCGTTTCAATTGGAAATAAAGTGTTTAAATGGCATTGCGTTCTGGTTGTTGGTAGCACTCTATAAACCTTCTGCTCGAAACCCTAACCTTCAACGTAGTGGCAATAGCAGAACAGTAGAGAGTCAAGCAGCCGATCAGCTGTGCGCGATCTCGAAAAACCTCAAATAATATTTTCCCATAATGTCCGTGATTTACAGAGGCGTTGTATCTGCAGTGGACAAAATTGTCCCTGCGAAACTTCAACCTCTCTGGAGCCATCCTGCAGGTAATTGTCTGTATTTGTATTCAAAACTATGAATACTGACCCTTTGCCCTAGGATGTTTTCAAGGTTAATTCCCAAAATAATGCCCCAAATTCTATTTTTGTTAATGTCAGCCAAGTTGTTTTTTGGGGCATCAGGTCCTGTCCTATGAACTTGCTCAGTGTACTCCTATTTTATCTGAAATGCCATTTATTCTTCTTTAGGACCCAAAACTATTTTTTTCTGGGCCCCAGCATTCAAATGGGTAAGTTAATGAGATTATAAAACCAAAAGTGTTTGTGTTTGATCGTTGTTATTTCTGTCATTCTATCTTTCTGCTCTCAGGGCCTTGTCATTGCTGGTATTGGTGATCTGACCCGCCCTGCTGACAAAATTAGTATTCCACAGCAGGGTGCATTGAGTGCGACTGGTCTTGTATGGTCACGCTACTCTCTGGTTATCATCCCCAAGAATTGGAGTCTTTTCAGTGTCAATGTGTTTGTGGCCCTGACTGGGTTGTATCAACTCTCACGAGCTATCCGGTAAGTTCATTTTACCAAGTTTTTTTTCAATTTATTCATTTTAATTTGGTTTGCTTTAGTATTTTTTAGATTCTGCACTCCAGTAAATTTACACCTACTATCATTGTTTTCTAGGTATGAGCAAAGCCTGAAGAGTGCAGAAAAGGAGAATGTGAGCAAACCTCAAGCTGTGCCTGCTTGAACTTTCCATTCCACTTACCCTATTCAATTGTATGAGGTATATTTACAGTGCTCAATACCTTGCCAAACAGGCAGTCTTTTAATCTCGTAACTTTATGTATTTATTTTGAGATATTTATTTTTGTTAGTCATTTTTTTTCCATGTTTTTTAGTCCAGTGCAGGACGCTGGCATCATCCCAGTGACTTTAGAATTGAATTTATTGTGATACATCCTTTGTAATTGTATTATTGTTTCTCTGATCAATTTTAGTATCAATCCTGGATTAAATGATTTTTATGCCTTGTATTTTTTCTGTTTTGTCTGAGATGATGGGCATCTTATAGAAGTAACAGAAGTGAGAGGAAATTTGCCTCCTAATTATTGGATCTTCTATCATTTAAGCTCAGGATAGACAATTGGCCATCATCTTTCTTATTGCATGCAAAGGAAGTAAGCCTGCTATGCAACAGGCAATTGATCTTTCCATCCAATAAAACGAGGTAGTCTTGGTGTTTTTCACATTTTTAAAACTCTATAGTAACTCATGCTACTATGACACCAAGAGAGGAACCATTTACAAAACATATGAAACATTTACCAACTTAAGAATGTCTCAGTTGTTTTTTTAGCCTTGAACTATTAGAATTTTCTATGAAGACTTCTTGTTTGAAACAGCCCAAAAAGAAGGAAGAGAGGTGGTTGGACCATGTGTCACCTTGAAGCACTTGTTAATAAAATGTACAATTTAACTGCCTTTGTTGCTGTGCAATAAAGATAAAACCTACTTTATGATGTGTTGATTACCTAAAACCTGTCGACATTAATTAGGTTTGAAGTAGGCACCATGGCATGGACGGTATTGACTCCAAACTTGAGCCATTATTACTGTAGAAACAAGGTTCTAAGGGGGTATTTGTGTGAGAATTTCTTTTAAACATTGTACAAAGTCCAATTAAAAATTTATTTAGCTAAAATTTGAAGATGCATAAACAAATTTTAATACAAATATTAAGTGACTAGCATGAACTTAGCGTAAGATGTACAAAATCTGCGGGTTAACATGTCCACTTAGTGTGTAAAATATCCAATTCCACCGCGAGGAGCCCGAACCTCGCACGGAAAGTGTTAAATGTATTTGCATACTTGACGGATAACATTGAATCAAAGTGCATAAACTTATCATCTAAACAAGGCCAGACTTATTTAAGCTTTGACTTCATAGAGAGACAAACTGAATTGTTTCAGAAAGTGAAATACTTGCCCTACCAAAGTATCCCCTGAGTCATCACTGGAATTATTGTTGTGGAGTCCCATATGGTCTGACCTATTATACAAATTGACTGGTTTTGAGGATGATAAGCTATAGGACAACTGCGTCAACATAGGAGGGGCCTCAGTCGACATGTGGGGGTAAAATAGGTTTATCCTTCGAAATGTCAAATTCGATATTTGGAATTCAATCTTATTACCCACAAGACTAGATGGAACTGCTAAGTACGTAGAATAATCTAAGTTTTCTTTGGTTTTGTTATTTTCTGCATCATGAATGATATTTTTCACTCTGTCAACAATATCAGGAAATGACTGAGATCCTAACTCATGAGCATAAAATTTACGGGATAAAAGATACTTGGTATTGGTAACATGATCAAAATACTTGTGTTTTGTATTTCTTTGTACCAAAAGGGACTGTGGAATAGGATACATATAAGCTGTGACAAGATGCACCACTTGAGGTTTAGACTGCTTTCTCATTATTTCTTTAAGGTGAGCAGTTAAAGGATAAACACCACCTTGATGAACAAACCCAAAGAAGACGCCTAGTAGACAGTTTATGACAAGCCACAAACTTATCAAAGATCTCTTTGACTTCTGTCCAGTACTGGATGAGGATGGACAATTCAGCTGAGATTTGTGTTTGTCTTGAATACTCTCTCTAGTACCAAACAAAATGGCTGGTCTTTGATCCAAGTCTTGTATTTCTTGAGCATGGAGAAATACAAGGGGAAGAGTTATTGGAATTAGAAATCTAGCTTCTTGGTGAGGAACAAGAGAGAGTAAAATAACAGGTATAATTAATGATGTTGTCATCAGCATCATAAGACTCTGAGCCCGAGGAAGTTCCTTCCAGCGAGCTTGTGACGCCCTGCAAATGAATAGAAATATGTGAGAATTTTCAAAACTAACTTCAAACAACTCTACCAGTCAATGAAACATAACACTTCTCTGTACCTGAATAAAAAGTTGGATACAGCTAATATACCAGTGAACCCTAAAACATTGTACAGAAGGGGTATGTTAACTAACATGTGAGTAACTCTTGGGTGAAGACCATGGTGAGCTAAGTTGCTTTCTCTGCTATTATACAATAAAAAATTAAATGGTGTAACCACAAAATTACTAAGACTAACATCCCCCATACCAATTTCATTCCAAGTTAAATGTCCATAGTAAAATGAATCTATAAGAATGAAAGTTATTAACGCTGGTACTGCACTCAAAGTGAATAACATAATTCTTAAATGGAATGCACGAATTCCACAAAATTTTGAACTGATCCCTCGCTGTAACCAAAAGAAAACTGGAGCAAGACCAAATGCAAAAAATGTTGGTCTGTTGAATACTCCAGCAACTGCGATAGATGCAATGGGGAAACATCTACGTAAAGAATGGGCAGGTAGTGCTGCGCGCATCTTGTAAAGCTTAGTACGCTCTACAGGTGTAGAAGCTGAAGCATATTTGGATTCCAGAAATTCTTCTTGATAAATTACCTTCAACCAGAAACATACATTGAGATAAGATAAAAGGCTAAAAGTAAAATTATTTCACACTGCAAGTCCAGGTAACATAACATACCTTATCAGATTTAATCATGCAGTCAGCAACCAGAAGGAGAAGAACTGACATAAGAGTCATTTCTAAACTATTTGTAAGAGTTCTGGTACCAAAAATAACAGGGACATAAGATGTTGCAAGAACCAAAAGACGTGTTCTGAAAACAATATGCTGTATCAAATACATTGTGACGAGACTAAACTGAGATTTGGAACAAGTAGAATTTGTACTCTTACAAACCTGTACTTTTGTCCATATAAAACACAAATTCTGTAGAGACAATAATCGGTCACAAAGGACAGACAACACGAAACAAGACGAGGAAGAATAAGCATAACATAGGGAGTACGAATGTCCCAACCCAAAATATAAGATAGGTTAGGAGTTAATGCTGCTAAAAGAATGTAGGGAATCCCAAAAATAATTTTTGGGACAAGAATACTTCTTATTGGAAATGTTACATTAAACTCCCAAGGTCTTTCAACTTCCAAATCAAAAACGTCACCTATGAAAGAAAATTATGTACACAGCTCAAAATCTAGAAGTACTTCAACACTTAATTGTAAAAATATTTCTGACACCTACCAGCAACAACCTCTATTGTTTGAAAATATTCATCAGGGTGAATATACCCTGTCTGTGGTAGAAGAGTGATGATAATTCGAAAGCAGGCAAGAAGCCAGTAAACAGACAAGGTCTGATCTTTCACTTTACTTTTCTGTGGTTTTGATTTGTTTTCTGAAACAAAGGTGAACAGTAACAAAAATAAAACACAATATTTAAAAGGAAGTCAAAAAATTCAATCAATTACATCGTGTTCTCAAAAAAGCTTTCTACCCACCGTAACGTGCAATAGAAAAGTGATAGGACTGCTAATATTTAATACTAACCATGCCTAAAGTCTCCTCCTGAATTTTGATTGCGTTGAGATATTTTCTCTGATCCCATGGTGAGGCAAATACAGATATTATCAAAATCACAGATAACTTATGGATGGAGTATAATTCCAGTTTAAGTGTATATTCACAAAGTGGGCAATTGGATTGTTTTCTCTTCTTCAAAAAACAGTTTGTGATTGTGGTGGATGTGCACAGGTCTTCTTTTAGTCGGATCAAACTCACGAGGACAGTCCTCCTTCATACTTCCTTCAATAAACCCAAAACTGTTCGCGAACTGAACCATTCAAGTTTCATTCATTCATAATAA